GTCGAGAAAGGTCATTTCCCGCCATCTAGAAATCAAAATTTTCCCGGGGGAGGAATGTTGACCCCACCACCTAGATTTGATTCTAGATCTGCATGATTCATATTCCCATTCATCTTATAAGCAGTGGCGTAAAAGGCGGGGGCCAGGGAGGGCAGACTGCCCCCCCCCCCGACGGTTTTTACCGGGCTGACCAAGCCGGCGTACCGGGCTGGGTAAGAAGAAAAAAGAAAGAGGAGAGAGGGAGGGAAAGAGAAAGAAGGGGAAAGAAAAAGAAAGGAAAAAGGAAAAGAAAAAGAGAAGAGAAAAATAAAGACAAGAATAAAAAGGAAGATATAATGAACAGATATCACAATACCCCGGCCTGCAACCCCTTCTCCACTTCAAAAAGTGTCCATATTGCATTTGATCTAAGCCGCCAGGTATTCTCCGCAGTGGTGTAACCACCGGGGAACAAGGGGAAAATATCCATTTGTGGAAAATCTTTCCCCATTGAATGCCCTTTTCACCCGGGAAAGTGCCTGAAAATCTCAAATTTTAAATCCAATATTTTGTTGAGGTAGTCCAATTTCCTCCAAAAATTGCAAATTTTAGGGAGTTTTGATCAATTCCGACGAAATTAGAAAACAACATTTTTCGCGCACTACGCGCGCATTTTTTAATGTTAAAGATTGTGCTTCCTCTCCTCTGCCTTATAAATTATAACACATAGTCCCAAAATCAAGAAAGAAAATTTAAGGATAGATCGTTTATAAAAGAAGGGCCTCAATGTGTAATGATGTTGAAAGAATATGTTTGTAATAAATAAAGCCATAAGGAAAATGCTTATATTCAGTTCAAAAAAACGAGTGTGGCCATATATAACATAAGAGCATTTCTTGTTGAGGTAGGCCAATTTCCTCTAAAAATTGCACATTTTAGGGAGTTTTGATCAATTGCGACGAAATTAGAATTAAAAAAACAAATATTTTTCGCGCGCATCGCGCGTATTTTTTAATGTTAAAGCTTGTGCTTGCTCTCCTTTGCCTTCTAAGTTATAACACATAGTCCCAAACTCAAGAAAGAAAAATTAAGATAGATCGTTTTACCTAAAAGAAGGGCCTCGATGTGTAATGATGTTGAAAGAATATGTTTGTAATAAATAAAGCCATAAGGAAAATGCTTATATTCAGTTTAAAAGAACGAGTGTGGCCATATATAACATAAGAGCATTTCTTGTTGAGGTAGGCCAATTTCCTCTAAAAATTGCACATATTAGGGAGTTTTGATCAATTGCGACGAAATTAGAATTAACACAAAAATTTTTCGCGCGCTTAGCGCGCATTTGTTAGGTTTAAGGCTTGTGCTTGCCCTCCTTTGCCTTCTAAGTTATTTAAAAACATAATAGTCCCAAACTTGAGAAAGAAAATTTAAGATAGATCGTTTTACCTAAAAGAGGGGCCTCAATGTGTAATGATGGTGAAAGAATAGGCCTATGATTGTAATAAATAAAACCACGATGAAAATGCTTATATTTAGTTTCAAACACACGGGTGTTATAATAAAATAAGCCCTATGTCGTATTGTTTTCTATGTGGGGTGGGGGGGTGGTATCACCAATTACTAACTGGGAAAATAATTACCTTTGCCGCCACCCCCCTGACCCAAGACCCCTGTTACGCGCCTGCTTATAAGTGGGCCCCCTCACTTTGAAAAACGTTCCGCCGGCCCTGTTAAGATATTAAAATAAAAACTGTTACTTTTAACTATGATAACACTGTGGAACCTAACTACCAAAATGCATCATAACATATTTACATATGAAAACATGAATGAAGACAGCCTTACAAAAGAACTAAACAGATGAAAATACACCATTGTTGTCGTATTCTTTTCCTTTGTTCTGAGAGTACTATCATTCAAATGAGTGTGCCTTGAAGACAACACCCATAAATTGTTGTCTAATAAGATTGGACTTGGAAAATATAAATGAAATGATAGAAATATTATTATACATACAAAATTCCTTATAATATTTGATATTTTGTTCTTATAAGATATTTATGTAAATTAGCTTATTTTTGTATTTATTAAGTTTCAGTAAATAGTTAAATATTTACAGTGATTTTTACAACTTTAGTATCAATAAAAGAAGACTATACCAGTTTAAGTTTTGCTATTTTTTGCGAGTCTTGTAGTGAGGTGTTTCAATTTACAATACATATCATATAACTATTATTGTTGTATAACAATACAAAACATATAATTAACCATTAATCAAACTAGTTTTAGGCAGAATTTATTTTCTTTAATCGTCTACCTGTAAAGAACAAATTAAAATCATTATCATGATAAATCAGTCTGAATAGGCCTATTACTGATCGCAGGCCGGGCTGCGTTAGACCTTAATGCTTTAAATTTAATCGATTTTTGCAACTGTAATAATAATCCTGAAGAAAAAATAATAATTATAAATCAACAATTATAATTTTTCCCAGATATAAGCGCACCTATATTAGGCCTAGGTCCGTTTATACTGTTAGTACTTATTTACTGTAATTATGGGCTCAGAGCTTCAAAAGAGCTTTCTTTGTTTTTGTACGTATCTTTGATCATTAGAGTAAGAATGCTTTGATCTTTTGTATAAATCACTGCTATGTCACCTACTAGAGGTAATGTTTTGATTGGTTAAACACTTTTGGTACTAGTGCATATAAGCTTGCTAATATGGATAATTTTTTCATTCCTGATGATGACATAATTAATGTCGAAATATTGAATCCCAACACGATGACGTGTATTTCAATACTTGGAGTATGTATTATACTTTCTTATAGGAAGAAGAATGTTGATAATATTAATACACTGCCAAATCAGTGGATTTTTATTATATTTTTCGTAATATTATTAAAGCTTACAATATTTGATGCTTTATGTTTCGTTGTATAAATTTCTAGGCCTATACGTTCTTAAATGATTGCACTGTTTTTTTCCCAATAATTTTGTGTATTTTTTTAGGAAAAAAAACATGAAATACATCGTCCTAAAATCAAGAACTTTAATGTAAACGCCCTTCATTGGGAAGATAACAATAGAAATACACATTTCCGTGGTTACGCTTGTATAAGAGAGGGCAAAACATGCCCATTCGTGCAGAACGAGTGTGCAGTGTCTGCCGATTGATGAATCACCTAATGCGAATTCACCAACTGATTAAAAGTTCAACCTGGTTTAACGAGCAATAATACTGTTATAACACACAACAGAGGTTAATGACATAGTCAATGTCTGTATTAAGCTTATGTAAAATAATTTATAGACAAGAAAACAACACGTCGTATAGGCCATGGCCACAGACCCTACATTATAGGGTCTGTATAAGCGAACAACTCGGGGAACAACTATATTCCTGAGAACCAGAGAAAGATAGAAACAAGCCAATCGGCTATTTTGTTACGTAGACGTTTAACCTTCTGTATAAAGAATGCATTGAAATCATTGGCCGGCGGAAGGTGGCTCTCATCAGTTGAAAAAAGGTCAGCATCGCAGTTGCCAAGAAGCTTTCTAGCAATCTTAAACAGGCGTTTTTGATCGTGACCACAGCTATCTACTTGAACCTGAATGGAGGCGGTGCGTTCTTCAACCAGTACACGATGATACTCAATGCACTTTTTCTGGTAAGCAAAAAGATTTGCATATGTTTTAGACTTTCGCCATTTACGTTCTGCTTTTCGCTTATTCCTTTTGGCATCACGGCATACTGTATTAAACCATTCAGATGATGTGCGATCAGATGATGTGCGATACGGTTTTCAGTGGAGCGAGTTCATCCCTGGGTAAGGTGAGTGAGGAATTATACTCATCAATAGCTGAATTGATTTGCATTGAGTCAGTAAAGTGCAATCTATCAATGGATGTAATTGTGATAAGATCAGGATTATTAGTATTAATCAAATCAAGAGTATGCTGGTGTTTATGGGTAGGAACAATTATGAGCTGTGTGAGGTTGAATGAACTGAGGACATCTGAAAGCTGGAGCGTATACGCATTCAGTGGATCATCAGCATGTATGTTGAAGTCACCCGTAATTATGACATTGGAGGACAAGGAGTACTGCTCAACAAGTGTTGAAAACTCAGTAAAAAAACTGCATGTTCGGACAGGGGGTGGCCTATAGATGACAAGAAGTGTGATTGTCTTCAAAGGTAACTTGACGATGGCCTCACAACCTTCAAATGATCGAAACTGGTCAAGTCTACGGCAGTTTGTTGCAAATCGTGTCATAACAGCAACACCGCCACCTCTGCTATTAATCCGAGGAAATGAAAAGAGCCGGTAACCACTTGGTTGGCAAGCTGCGATTAGAGAATTATCATTTACTTGAAGCCATATCTCTGTAACTGCAATGATGTCGACATCATGATCAACTACATATTGGTGGAACTGTGTAGTTTTGTTGCAAACAGATTGGGCATTCCAAACGGCAATTTTAACTGAGCTATGACTTTGCGAGTAGAGTTGAGAGGTCATTTGAGGCACACCAGAAGATGAAAGGTCAAAAGTTGACCTGCATTTGACCTTGCACTTGACCTGTCTGCCAGCTCTACAACCACGATTACGACGTAAAATTCCTAAATCCTTCATACGATTGTAAGCAGTAAGCGGGATCTTAAGTTTACGTTTGTTGTTGAGACACAGCATTAAACGTCTGCAGGTAGGCCTAGGCCTAAGCACAGGCACAGAGGCTTGATAAAAACCTGAGGAAAGGTCGAAATAGTGGTTTTCTCTATAAGTTTTTATAAAATCTATACATGGTTTTCTTTTCCTATATTTTTTGTATAATTTTAATTTTAAATTGTTTTGCATTATATGGCCGTTTGCTGTTTTATGGGTTTTTCCCATTTGCCTTTCAAACCTATATATATATATGTATATACACCTATATATAAT